GCGAGACTACTCTGAAATTTTTTAACTTCGTTATATGTAACAGCGTAGAAACGAGTTAAAAATGGGCTTAAATGAATTGCTGGTAACGGGATTTATCGGATCAGAAATATTCTGTAGTATCCGAAAAAATCACATCGTGGGATTTCCAAAATGGGAAAAGCAATATATTCCATATATTGACATATTTTAGATTAAAAGCAACAAAAAATATTTTCACAACCTTCTGGTTGCTATAAAAAAACTCACACTTAGAGAAAATATGTTTATATAAATATTGCGAGTAGTTTTTTTGATTACCTTAAAAACGCTTTTATTAAGAAAAACCTTAGTACGATTATTTATTCTCTAGAGTTGAATTGATTCCTTTAAAGGCGTCCGTTTTGGGTAGGTCAACGGTTGTTTTAACGTATTCCTTTTTTTTAACTTTTAAGCATTCGTGATACTAGATTATTAAATTTTCGGGTACTCTAGTACTAGTACTCTTACTTTAAGTCTGTAGAATACACCGTTTAGAAAATTTGATTTAAAAAATTTTCATTTTTTCTCCATAAAAGTTAAATTAATAGTTACCTTAATTTTATTAATTACCTTTTTTGTCAATAAATGCATTCGTAAAAAAAGCTTGGAAAAAGAAGCAAACAATCAATTTGAAACAAAATTATTATATTTAAAGGTTTTTAAAAACAAAGTATTTATTACAGTGGAACAAAACTACTAGAACCCAGAGAACAAGTATCAAAGATAGATAGCAACAAAAGATGTAATGACCATTAGTCTCTATGCATAAATTTTCCATATTGCTCACAAGATGCCAAATTTTTGCAAAAAATTCAAAGTTATTTCTAAAATCGTTGCAAGCATTTGGTATCCTTAGCCAGAATTATGCACGATTTTGTATCGGAATGGAATAAATACATGGTTTTATATATCCTCAACTATATTAATCGCAAGGATTCAAATCCAGTGACCTTGCTGGCGAAGTAACTGGACCGTCTCTTCAAATCCAGTGATCTTCGTAGTTATTATCAAGAAAGTCTCTTGCATGGAAGTCTTGTCCTGGAAGTTAATTTGATTTAATATGTTTTACCAAATACATGGTAAAACATATTAAAGGAAATGTAAATAATCAGCACCATTTAAACTAGCAGCAATGCCACGTGTCCAAGTAGATAATCGTCAACTACTTTTATCCAGACGTTTATGCTAAACCTGTGCTGATGCTTAAATTCTTGAACAACGTGGGATTTGTCACCAAAGTACGAGTAATAATGTGCATTATATTAAATAAAAATTCCATTTTTTGTGAATGTAGTTTTGTCGCAAAACAAATGTATTTGAAAAAATTTTTATTTTAATTTTTCTGATTTTGTAACCATATAGCGACTTCTTCACGAGCAACAAAATCTCCTTGTAGCAGTGCTTGTACCTTTGTAAAATGAAAAGGATTTAAATTTTAAATTGCATTACAAACATAATAATTCATTGTATTATTTAAATATCAAATGTAATTGGTTTAAAATGTAAAAATAAATAAACAATAAAATAACTTTATTCAGCTTGAGGCAGATAGGCTTTGAACGCTAATTTCTAAATTTTTTTCAACTTCCATTAAAATAACATCTTCATGTGCTGCGTTACATCATTATGTTGCCCCGTTTTATTAGATTTTGGGAACACTGAACTTATTTTTTTTTTTGACAATTGACAACAATTTGACAATGGAAAACGTAGGTTATACTTCTGTTGACAGTTCAAAGCCAACTAGTATAAAAAATATTAGTTTAACTTTCATGAAGAAAAAACGAAAAATTTTCAAATCGATGTTTCTCGAAAACAGTGTATCCTACCTACTTAACATAAAAGTACTTTTAACTAGAATTCCTAAAAATCGAATAATCTAGTGTCACGAATGCTTAAAAGTTAAAACAAAAAAGGTATACGTTAAAATAACCGTTGACCTACCTAAAACGGACGACTATGACCGGTACTAGAAATTAACAATTAATGAAATCGATTTAAATCTGGAGGATAAATAATTGTACCAGTTTCAGTTTTTCTAAATAAAAGCGTTCTGAAGGTATCTAAAAAAAACTAATTACAAGTGGCCATCTTCAAAGAGCTTTAGGACTAGGTGAATTGGGTTAAATTGTTTTAAAATTATCCGAGACATATCTGGTCTTCGTTTGTCAGGAGAGTTTCTGGACACCTTGTAGAATAGGTAATGTGGAAAAATTTTGCACAAATTCGAAGTTTTCGAAGACTGCTTTTCTCAGATGTATGTATTTATAAGGACAAATATTTCATATATACCTACAAAATGTTTTGAAATTTCAAAAATACATTTCGTTAATATAGTTTTATCAGTAAATTCCTAAATAACAAAATTATCATTTTGCTTTATTCATTATTTATAGTCATGCTATAATTTACGAATTAATTCAGTGAACTTTGTTACATAATGTAAATATGTAAATACCTCCACCTGTATCATAAACCTCCAATATTAGCTATTAACATCAAGTTAACATCCTTGTACCTCCCGATTATACCTACAGACCGATATTTACGATTGTCGAGGTGCTTTTTATAATTCAAATAACGGTTATAAATCTCCGGCTGTCAAGAGTTGATACACGTTGATCATACCAATATGCGCCACCCGTATTTGTTCTTTCTTAGAGAAGGTCTAGAGAAGAGACCCAGACGTACTTCTTAGAAATTAATAATTTTGTTATTCACTACATTGATTGTAAACGTGTCGTCGACACTTTTGATATAGTGTGCGAATGGTTTGTTCATCTAAAATAAAAAGACATTTTAGTGGTTAGGTGTAATCTGAAAGAATAATAAGTAAAACCTGGAAAATTTTAATAAACTTGAAAAAAAGTAAATTTTAGCTAGAATGATTGTATAACAATGTATATTATACAATGCTCTTAATAGATCAGATATAAAATGGTCCGTCTAGAAAGTATGCTGACTTTTCTATTTTTCGTATTTTTAATAAATTTCTTTTTTGTAATATTCTTCAAATTGCAAGTCCAAAATCGCATAATGTACCACCTATCAAATATTTAGTCTTCGGAATAGTAAAATAAATTTAGAAGAAAAAACAATAAATTTTCTATATACATATTTGTATAGCAAATATGTTTCGGGAAGACCGCTTAAAATTCACAGTAGAAATTGTGCGATAAAAGTATATAATATTCGGTAAAGGTAAATTCGGTTACCATTGACACATCTTCACAAAACATTTTTTTTCACATAGGACTATACTTCTTTGTCAACCATTTTCCATCCACTCCTGAATGTAGGTCTCTCCCAATTGCTTCCATCTTTCTCTATTTTGGGCCAATCTAATCAACTGGTTGCCTGCCTCTGCTCTTATGTCATCTACCCATCTTTTTTGAGCTCTTCGTTCTACGTCTTATCTCGGTGTTTCTAATCTCGTCTCTTAGTGATATTCCAAGCATGATTCGTTCCATTGCTCTTTGCGTTGTTTCTAATTTTTTGGCAGATTTTTTGGTAAGTGCTACTGTCTCCAAGCCGTAGGTACAAACTGGTAGTATGCATGTGTTAAACACCTTTTTCTTTAAGTTTATAGGAATGGAGGTGTTTTTCAAGATATGTGCTAATTTGCCGAAAGCGCCCCAAGCCAGTTGTGTTCTTGTTTTAATTTCAGCATCTTGATTTGGTTTTCCTAGTTTGATAACATGACCTAGATATACATAATGTTTCTCATTTTCTATTGTATGATTTTGTATTGTTATATTTGTCTGGTCTCGGCTCAGTATTTTTGTTTTGCTGTATGTAGTTCATTTTTAAGCCTACCGCTCCTGAAACTGCATTTAATTCTTGTAACATATCATTTAGTTCTTGGATATTATCGGCTATTAAAACTATGTTATCTGCGAATCTCAAGTGGTTTAAGTATGATCCGTCGACGTTGATACCCTTATTGTTCCATTCCTGTTTCTTAAAAATATCTTCTAAAGCAAGGGTAAATCGTTTGGGAGAGATGGTGTCTCCTTGTCTTACTCCCCGTTGTAGTCTTATGGGATTAGTTTTGGTGCTTTCGTCCAGCTTTATATGCATGGTGGCACTTTCATATATGTTTTTAATTATGTTAATGTATCTTGAATCTATGCGTGCATTCTCTAGAGATTCAAGCACTGCCCATAATTCGATGGAATCGAATACTTTATTTAAATCGACGAACGCCATACGAATTGGAACATTATACTCGGTGCTTTTTTCTATCAGTGTTCTTACGGTGTGCAAGTGGTCTATAATATTAAAATGTTTTCTGAATCCAGCCTGCTCGATAGGTTGATAGAAATCGAGCTCATGTGTTAGGCGGTTGGTTATTATTTTAGTTAGTAATTTATACAGATATGATAACAAGGATATTGGTCGGTAATTCTCGATGTTTGCTCTGTTTCCTTTCTTGAATAGTAAAATGACCTCGGAGTTGTACCATTCATAAGGAATCTTTCCTTCATCAATTACTTTATTAATTGACTCTAAGTATAGTCATATACTTATTTCTAAGTATATGACTATACTTAGAAATTTGAAATTACGCATATTGTTAGGTCCACTATATTAGGAGTAAATCGAGAGTAAAAGTTTTATTGTAAGGTTTAAAATTTTGATACACTTTTTTATTTTTATAAATGTGTCAGATGTTAATATTACCCACACTCTAAAACATTGATTACGTATAAGCGAATATTTACTAATAGTCGAGTAACCTCCTCCTCCTCCTCAGTCCTAATCCCTTTTAGGATGTGGTGACACCATCAGGCCTTTACAGATTTTTCACGATTTCCCTCCATCCTTCTCTGTCCTGGGCTAGTTGTTCGCCTTCATGTAACCCTTGGTTATTCAATATTTCTGTTTGATCTACCTAACGGCTTGGAGATCTTCCCCTAGGTCTCTTTTCTTCAACTCTACCCTCGACTATCAGTTTTTTCATCGTACTTTTTCTTCTAGCAATGTGTCCAACGTACTGCAAATATCTCTGTTGTATTTATTTAAGCAATATATCCTTTACTCTAAGTTGTTCTAATATCGATACGTTAGTGCGATGATCAATCCAGGATATTCTCAACATACGGCGGTATACCCACATTTCAAAAGCGTCCAGTTTATTTTTATCCGCTTTCTTTAAGGTCCACGTTTCGGATGCGTATATGGCTATGCAAAAAATAAGCGCCCTTGCCAGCCTTAGTTTTGTGTGTATTGTTATGATAAAATTTTTCCAAATTGCTATCAGTTTCATCATAGCTGTTCTAGCAATAGTCAACCTTCTACGTATTTCTCTGTCATATCCTCCGTCATTTGTTATTAGGGATCCCAGGTATATGAAAGTATTTACTACTTCAAAGCCCCCAATTTTTTTAATGTGTTGAAGATTATTTCGAGCCCTTTTGTTTAACTTATATTCTGAAGAAGTTTTCAAAAACACGCTTAATAATATCAAAGCGGGAGTAACAGTACAAAAAATTAATTAACAACTCACGCAGATACTATTTACTTATATGCAGATGCCACTGTCACCATTGCAAGGAGCATGGGAGATCTAAAACATCTAATTGAAAGCTTAAGTATTAATAGTGTGGAGATAAGAATTACTATAAAAGTTAAAAAAAATACATGCTCATTACAAAAGACCACACAATATGAACCACATATTGACAATAAATGGTAAAGTGATAGAACAGGTTAAAAAAGGTCAGTGCTTGGGAACTTTCAATGAAATCAACGATCATAATGCAGAAATAAACAGGCGAATAGAGATTGCCAGATCAACATTTGTTTCATATTCAACATTTGTTTCATATTCATTGATTGAACATAGGGTTCAATGGAATAAATCAAATGTAGTCCTAAAAGAAATGGATGGTAAAAAAAGAAAAATCAAAGAAGCGGCTCTAATTATGCTAAATGAGGCCAATTGTGTCGCAAATTCCTCGGCAGAATGTAGTAGGATCTGGTTACCAATATTGAACGAGGAAGTTATTAATAAGAAAATACCAGTATTAGTAAGTCAGTAACATATAGAGGATACATCATTTATGTTTTTTAACTAACGAAACATATAAAATCAGAATTTTGGTGTTTATTGAAGGTAAACTAAATGTTTAAAAGTGAAACTGGAACAAACCATGAAGTGGAGATATCCAGGAATGGCTAGTATACCTGTTGAATACAAAGCACGTGGTGTTCGTGTGTATTAAGGTATAAAAACGCTTATTAAAAGCTTAAAATTTTTTATTATAAAGAAGATCTTTTCGGAATTGTATCATTCCATCATCAGTTTACTAAAAGAGAGAGTAAAAATACCAATATTAAAAACAACAAAGTTAAAATTTGAACATACAAAAAGATAAAGTTGGTTTTTTACTACTTATATAAAAAAGGTTGTTAAAAAAACATTGTGTGGCCACATAAAAAACATTCGGTGGACATCTTGATTTAAAAAATAATATTCTTCGTGTTAATTATTCAAGTAAATGCAATAGACTCTTGACTTGCGTAATATAAAAAATGAAACTGGGGGCATCTTATATGACCCCCTGTAGTTGATGAAGTTTTATTGACTTACATTACCTCTGATCTGTGTTGGAGTCTAGGGCTAACTGATAGAAAGATGGTATGAAAAATCAGTTAGTACCCGTCAATGTCAAGAGGAATGATGTGGTAGGAGCAAAGTCATTGTGCTTAAGTTTGTGAGTAGGCAGTTTTTAGTGAAGAAATGTGTTTTGTGTGTAGTAGGATCATAAGCAATTTTTGGTATTTTAAAAAACTGATGGGATAATATAAATCAATGCGTGACTGTGATGCAAAATAAATCGGTATACCGTTTAAAATGTTTAAATGTTTAAATGTTTAATCGGTATACCGTTTAAAATATACCCATTTAAAATGATTTATTAATTTTAACCACTTAAATTACAAAAAAAAAAATTTTTCCCTACCTCGGTATACCGATTTATTTTGCATCACAGTCACGCATTGATTTATATTATCCCATCAGTTTTTTAAAATACCAAAAATTGCTTATGATCCTACTACACACAAAACACATTTCTTCACTAAAAACTGCCTACTCACAAACTTAAGCACAATGACTTTGCTCCTACCACATCATTCCTCTTGACATTGACGGGTACTAACTGATTTTTCATACCATCTTTCTATCAGTTAGCCCTAGACTCCAACACAGATCAGAGGTAATGTAAGTCAATAAAACTTCATCAACTACAGGGGGTCATATAAGATGCCCCCAGTTTCATTTTTTATATTACACAAGTCAAGAGTCTATTGCATTTACCTGAATAATTAACACGAAGAATATTATTTTTTAAATCAAGATGTCCACCGAATGTTTTTTATGTGGCCACACAATGTTTTTTTAACAACCTTTTTTATATAAGTAGTAAAAAACCAACTTTATCTTTTTGTATGTTCAAATTTTAACTTTGTTGTTTTTAATATTGGTATTTTTACTCTCTCTTTTAGTAAACTGATGATGGAATGATACAATTCCGAAAAGATCTTCTTTATAATAAAAAATTTTAAGCTTTTAATAAGCGTTTTTATACCTTAATACACACGAACACCACGTGCTTTGTAAACTAAATGCACGAACAAATACTTACCATGTCGGGATAGTATTATAAGGTTTTTCCCTCATAATTTACTATGGAATCACTAACAGGAGAATTTTACTGTCATCCTGTCATGTGTTTGTCTTTTTAAAGACGAATTACATGCTATGATTTTGTCTGACGCATATTCTCAAGTTAAAGTTGATTTCATGTAATCGAATGCACTATCTTATAAGTAAAGTCGTCCCAGGAGCGCAACTCAACAATATTGGCATATTTTAAAGTCATCTACTTTAAAATGGATAATGTATATCTGAATTGTCAATATAGATAAGTCAGATAAAATTAAAGGGTCAGTTGTTCTCCTGAAGAAGCTACATACAATTGTAGCGAAACGTCGAGATGAACCCACTTTTGGGTCACTCACAAATGACACGGTCCAAACCCGGAAGACGAATAAACTATAAAACGTACTTCTCTTTAGATGATGCATATCAGCCAGAATTCTAATACAATGAACAAAAATTCTGAAAATGATAATATCAGTAAAATCTACAAGAATTATATTCTTTCTTTCGAAAAATATGCATTTACTGTTTATGAAATTCTTCAAATCTCCCACACGTTTTAAGTTGGTAGTAAGGTTAAACAGAATTAAATATAACAAAGATAATTTGAAATTAACTAGTTTGCTTTTGAAGACAAAAATAATCAAAAATCCTTATAAGTCTTTAATATTTTCTAAACGTTTTCCATTGATTATAAATTTTTCGTTTTTGTTTTTATTTTTTATTTTTTTTCTAATATTTGTTCTATTCTGATGATTCGAAAAATAAATTGAAATGTTTATGTATTATATATTTTGGCAAAAAATAAACGAAGTGAAAATCCCTAATATAGCTTTAAAATTCTTAATTTTAGTATGTTTAAAAATGTGTAGGCTGAATACACGAACTTTTGATTGTTTTCTTAAGAGTCTGTTTTCTCGAATAACGTGTTCATCTACCACTTTTTATACGTGTATCCTATTTGATAACATCTTGGATTGTAAGCGTCAAATAATAATTTTGTTGATCTAACTTAAGTAGCAATTGAATATTCACGAAGAATAAGGAAACAAGAAGAAATTTTAAAATACGAGGCCACCCTTATTTCTTATGAATAAAACAACACCACATAAGCGATTTTTCATTTAAATTGACCAAGAACACAATACAATGCATTTTCTGCGTATAAAAAAATATTTTAAGGCTGTCGAGATTTCTACTAAATATCAGTGGCTTACAGAAATTTATTTTGTTTTATTATGTCTTATATTACAAGAAATTTATAGCAGGGACAATAGTTTAATGAATCTAAACTTAAACGTAATAATAAGACCAAGAGGTTTGATTGCTTATCTGAGCTGTCAAAATATAATGCACAAGCGAATGAAAAAGCCATTCGGAAAATTAATAAACCTAACACATAAATATACATTTAAACAAGCTATAAACTCATCACTGCGAGTCGATCAACTAGTATTTCAATATTAGTTTTAGATGATATTACAGCGATCAAAATAATTCAAACAAGACCCAAATATACCAAGTCTACCAAATGCACGTGACAAATGTTACTTTGTTGATTATTGTGTCGCATTCTTCGGCAGAATGTAGTAGGATCTGGTTACCAATATTGAAAGAGGAAGTTATTAATAAGAAAATACCAGTATTAGTAAGTCAGTAACATATAGAGGATACATCATTTATGTTTTTTAAATAACGTAACATATACAATCAGAATTTTGATGTTTGTTGAAGGTAAACTAAATTCACGAACAAATACTTACAATGTCGGGATAGTATTATGAGGTTTTTTTCCTGGTTTTCCTTCATAATTTACTATGGAATCACTAACAGGAGAATTTTACTGTCATCATGTCATGTGTTTGTCTTTTTAAAGACGAATTACATGCTATGATTTTTTTCTGACGGATATTCTCAAGTTAAAGTTGATTTCATGTAATGGAATGAACTATCTTATAAGTAAAGTCGTCCCAGGAGCGCAACTCAACAATATTGGCAATATCATTTTAAAGTCGTCTACTTTAAAATGCATAATGTATGTCTGAATTGTCAATATAAATGAGTCAGATAAAATTAAATTATTAGAAGAATTTTTCACTATGTAACAAAAAACAAAATTTCTTTAATTTACTGTTTGTATGTTGAGAACGATTTCCGAAGTGGAAATTGAAACGTCAATAAACGTATTTTTATCTTTAATTGTGGCTTATTCCCAGTTTAATAGTAATTAATTTTAAATAATGTTAGCGAAGTAAATACTGCCCAACCAACACAAATCAACCCCTGATCAATAAACTTAAAAAGAATCTTGAGATGATAAAACGTAACAGAAATTTATTATATTAATAAATTTATTAATCATAATTTATTTAAAAATATATTCCTATGTAAATGGGTTTGTATTATAAAATAAAGCTACTTGCGAGCTAAAAATTCAAATAAAACCTATTCTAACTTGCTTACTTAAAATTCTTAATTTAATTTAAAAGTAAATAGTTTGATACTATTATAGCTTAAAAGGCATTATTGATCATCAAGGAAAAATATAAAGAAGAGGATGTCTTGATCTCACGTATGCCGATGATTTCAACAAACGTACCATTTCATTTTAAACTAATTACTATTTAACTGGGAATAAGCCACAATTGAAGATAAAAATACGTTTATTGACGTTTCAATTTCCACTTCGGAAATCGTTCTCAAAATACAAACAGTAAATTAAACAAATTTTGTTTTTTTGTTACACAGTGAAAAATTCTTCTAATAATTTAATTTTATCTGACTCATCTATATTGACAATTCAGACATACATTATCCATTTTAAAGTAGATGACTTTAAAATATGCCAATATTGTTGAGTTGCGCTCCTGGGACGACTTTACTTATAGCATTCGATTACATGAAATCAACTTTAACTTGAGAATATCCATCAGACAAAATCATAGCATGTAATTCGTCTTTAAAAAGACAAACACATGACATGATGACAGTAAAATTCTCCTGTTAGTGATTCCATAGTAAATTATGAGGGAAAAACCTTATAATACTATCCCGACATGGTAAGTATTTGTTCGTGCATTTAGTTTACCTTCAATAAACACCAAAATTCTGATTTTATATGTTTCGGTATTTAAAAAACATAAATGATGTATCCTCTATATATGTTACTGACTTACTAATACTGGTATTTTCTTATTAATAACTTTCTTGTTCAATATTGGTAACCAGATCCTACTACATTCTGCCGAGGAATTTGCGACACAATTGGCCTCATTTAGCATAATTAGATAGAGATTAGAGATTAGAGATTAGAGATTAGAGATTAGAGATTAGAGATTAGAGATTAGAGATTAGAGATTAGAGATTAGAGATTAGAGATTAGAGATTAGAGATTAGAGAAGATAATGCATAAACTCTAACTGTTGACCAAAAATGGATGACCCTCAAACCACTTAAAGAAAAAACAAAACCGTAGAAACAGTAGAAATTCTTGAACTCATGGAAGAACGAAGAAAACATAAAGCAAAAGACCTGAATAAATACAAAGAAATTCAGAGAAACATCAGAAAGAAAATTCGAGAGGCAAAAGAGAGGTGGCTCTCCGATAGATGCAAGGAAATAGAAGATCTGGATAAAAAGTACGACAGCTTTAATTTACACAAAAAAATCAAAGAAATATCAGGTTCTAGAAAGCGTACAAAAACGAATATCCTTAAAAATGATAAAGGGAATATTATTACTGATATGAAGGAGAGATTATGTCACTGGACCAATTACATTCAACAACTATTTAATGATGAAAGAGAAGAACTGTCATTAGAAATCACCGAAGATACTGGACCACCAATATTAAGAGAAGAAGTCATCTATGCCATCAAAAACACAAAAGAGGGTAAAGCCACCGGACCAGATGAGGTGCCCATCGAATTATTAAAACTCATCGATGAAGATGTTATTGATGTAATGGTTGAACTCTTGAATCTAATATATCAGACTGCAACAATCCCCAGACAATGGCTGCAATTAACCTTTGTAGCAATTCCCAAAAAACCAAGTTCAACAACTTGCTCAGGCCACAGAACAATAGCTTTAATGAGTCACACACTTAAAACATTTTTGAAAATAATTCACAGCAAAATTGTTAAAACTCTTGAATATGAGATTAGTGACACACAATTTGGCTTTAGAAATGGTATGAGTACAAGAGATGCTTTGTTCGGCTTGAATGTGCTGGCTCAGAGATGCATGGACATAAATCAGGATATGTACTTATGTTTTGTAGACTTTGAAAAGGCATTTGATAAAGTTCAACATAAAAAGTTTGTAGATATATTAAAAAGCAAAAATATTGACAGTCGTGATCTGAAAATTATATCTAATTTATATTGGAATCAAACTGCCAAGGTAAGAGTTGACAGCCAGTACACCGAAAATATCAAAATACAGAGAGGAGTCCGCCAGGGTTGCGTGCTGTCCCCACTACTTTTCAATGTCTACAGTGAAGCGGTATTTCAAGAAGCGCTCTCAGACTCAATAGAAGGTATATCTATCAATGGAGAAGTTTTGAATAACTTACGTTTTGCAGACGATACAGTAATAATTACGGATAACAACAATGATTTACAGAACCTAATGCAACGCCTTAATGAACGCTGTCATGAGTACGGACTGAAGATAAATTTAAAGAAAACTAAATGCATGATCATGACTAAATCTGCACATGCAAATATCCAATTGGCTATTGAAGATACTGCAATTGGGAGTGTTAATAACTATAAATACTTAGGAACATGGATAACATCAGATGTAGACCAAACCAAAGAAATTAAGACACGTATTGAAATAGCACGTACATCATTTATTAAACTTAAAAAGTTTCTTTGTTGTCGGGATATAAGGTTAGAACTACGCCTGAGAATGCTTCGATGTTACGTGTTCTCTACTCTTCTTTATGTCTGGAAGCTTGGACACTAAAACAAGTTCATCTGAATAAGTTGGCCGCCTTTGAATTTTGGTGTTACAGAAGAGTCCTACGAATATCATGGACTCAAAGAATGTCAAACATGGAAGTAACTAGAAGGATAGGAAATGAGGCGGAAATAATATTAACTATTAAAAGACGAAAACTTGAGTACTTGGGACATGTGATGAGAGGGCAAAAATACGCATTATTACAACTTATTATGCAGGGCAAAATCCGAGGAAAGCGAAATGTGGGAAGACGAAGAATATCCTGGCTTAAGAACTTGAGGGAATGGTTTGAATGCAGTAGTGCAGAACTTTTTAGAGTGGCAGTCAACAGAGTCCGCATAGCCATGATGATTTCCAACCTTCGATAGAAGATGGAACTTAAAGAAGAAGAAGCATAATTAGAGCCGCTTCTTTGATTTTTCTTTTTTTACCATCCATTTCTTTTAGGACTACATTTGAATTATTTCATTGAACCCTATGTTCAATCAATGAATATGAAACAAATGTTGAATATGAAATAAATGTTGATCTGGCAATCTCTATTCACCTGTTTATTTCTGCATTTTAATAGTTGATTTCATTGAAAGTTCCCAAGCACTGACCTTTTTTAACTTGTTCTATCACTTTACCATTTATTGTCAATATGTGGTTCATATTGTGTGGTCTTTTGTAATGAGCATGTATTTTTTTTAACCTTTATAGTAATTCTTATCTCCACACTATTAATACTTAAGCTTTCAATTAGATGTTTTAGATCTCCCATGCTCCTTGCAATGGTGACAGTGGCATCTGCATATAAGTAAATAGTATCTGCGTGAGTTGTTAATTAATTTTTTGTACTGTTACTCCCGCTTTGATATTATTAAGCGTGTTTTTGAAAACTTCTTCAGAATATAAGTTAAACAAAAGGGGCGATAAAACGCATCCCTGTCTAACTATGGCACTTTGGTTCCAGTATAACGTTTGAACTATCTATATGATTGTCTTGCAAATGTGCTTATTCAGTACTGATTAAGTATTGATATTAGCTTTTTGTAATCATAGCAATGATTAGATGAAAGTTCAGATGGAAAAACCGATGAAGATGAATTCAATCCTGAGATAGACCATCCTCAACCTAAATGACTTAGTGGGAAACTTGGGCCTATCGAAAGATGCTGCACAAATCTCAGTATCACGACTGAAAGTTAAAAATCTATTGATTCCAGGTACCACATTTTCGTGGAATAGGCATCGTGAAAAAAAATTCGCGGAATATTTTCTCTAGAGGGCTCACGGGTGTATTGTCATAATATTTCTGAAGTAGTCCTGAAACTGGGAGCTGACAATTACGATTCAACATCATGGTGGTTATTTAATGATTGTTCTAAAAGAAGTCTAAATAATGTCATTGTTGCACAATGGTAATATTTGTACCTCAGTGTCTGTAGCTCACTCCGTGAATCTGAAAGAAAGTGTAGTAATTATTGTTGGCAATTTTGTGAAGATCTCAAAATAATATCCATGCTTTTGGGTCAGCAGTATGGATTCACATAGTATCCATGTTTTTTATACGAGTGGTACACTCGAGCAGGAAATTTACACTACATTAAGAAAGAATTTCCACTCAGAGAAAGACTAGTACCGGGACCAAAAAATGTGCAACGTGATACATTATAAAAATCGGACAGATTGTTTTAGAATACAATGACCCAGGATGAATCTGAATCTGTTGTAGAACTCATAGATGGTTTTCTTGGAAACAACAAGTCTCCAGACTATAAAGAAATTGTAGCTAACATGGTCGAAAATTATAAAAAACTGGGATGCAATATGGGCGTCAAACTTCATTTTTTGGATTATCACGTTGACTATTTTCCCGAAAATCTTGGAGCAGTCAGCGTGGAGCTGGAAAAAAGGTTCTATCAAGATATAAAGGAGATGTAAAGACGTTACCAAAAAAGATGGATATAAGAATGATGGCTGATTACTGCTGAACATTTCAGAGAGACTCGATCACAAAAATCCATAAAAAGAAGACTACAAAATGCAGTTTTCATGGAAAAAGAGAACGGTTTTATTAAAGAAACAACAAATATTGTTGTGTAATTTTATATTAAATATCGTTTCAATAAATATTTTCTCAGTATTTTTGACAGATTCTATGAACAATTTCAAATACATTTTTCCTGAAAACCTGACGTGCTGGAAAAAAACTAAGTACAGATTCGTGATCAGCACATCCTATAGGACACCTATTCAACTTTAAACACTTTTTCATGAAAATAAAAATGTAGGCCTGTGTTTTCGAAACCAAATTTAGACTTTTGCTTTAATCTGTGCCTTCTAAGAATTGCAAGGCAAAACAAACGTTGATGAAGATGTTATTAGAGACATGGGGAATCTAAAATTTGCATTCCTTGTCATATCTCCTTAACTAAGCAAAAATCCTTAGCGAATTGGTTTCTCGTACTCGTTCAGAGTAATTGGAAAAAAAAAGGAAAAGACAGTTAAGATTTAATTTCACGTATAGTGCGTCAATGTAGCCACTTATACGTATAGACGTATTAGACGTGGAATGCAAATTTTAGATTCTCCATGTCTCTAATAACATCTTTATCAACGTCTGTTTTGCCTTGCAATTCTTAGAAGGCACAGATTAAAACAAAAATCTGCATTTGGTTTTGAAAATTAGTTTACGGATTTTAATATCTTCTTCTTCTTCAAGTGCCGTCTCCATCAATGGAGGTTAGCGGTTATGGTGGCAAACGTTTGTCTATCTTCAGCTGTTCTTAAGAGTTCCTCAAATCCAAGTCCTGTCCAGTTTCTGATATTACGTAACCAGGACAATTTTTTTCTTCCAATTCCTCGCCTTCCTCTATTTTGCCTTTTATTATCAACTGAGGGATGTAGTATTTCTCGTTGCGCAACAAATGCCCTAAATAACTGGTTTTTCTTCTTTTGACTGTTCTCAATAGTTCTTTTTCTAAATTGAGTCTAGCTAGTACTTCTTCATTTGTTTTTCGTGCTGTCCAAGGAATTTTTAAAATTCTACGGTACACCCACATTTCAAATGCCTCGATTCTATTCAGGCTCTTTATTTTTAAAGTCCATGTTTCGACTCCGTAGAGAAGAACAGACCAGATAAAACATTTTACAAGTTTTAATCTCAATTTAATATTTATATGTGTATCGCAGAATAGAACGCGCATCTTAAAGAAACTATCCCTAGCTTGAGCAATTCTCGCTTTAATTTCTTGTTCTGGGTCCAGCTTGCAATTAATCCAACAGCCAAGGTATTTGTATTGGTTTACCTGTTCTAAAATATTCCCATTTATTTTTATAGGTAAGGGGATATTCTGTTTTCTTTGGATCACCATTACTTTTGTTTTTTTTTTCGTTGATCTTCATTCCAAACTCTCGACAAGCATCCTTAAGGTGGTCTATAACCCTCTGTAAGTTTGTGTCTGTATCAGCCAGTAGGACAGTGTCATCTGCATATCTTATGCTAGATATTGGTTCTCCATTAATTTTTATTCCTGTGGAAAGGTTTTCCAAGGCTTGCTTGAATAGTAGTTCCGAGTAAAGATTGAACAGCATAGGGGATAGTATGCATCCTTGCCTTACTCCTTTATTTATACTAATATTTCTAGATGTATGATCGTCGATCCTAATCTTGGCACTCTGCCTCCAATATAAGTTCTTAATTAATCGGAGATCTTTACTATCCAAGTTGATGCTCTGCAAGGAATTTAACATTTTATTATGGTTTACGCGATCAAATGCCTTTTCAAAGTCTACAAAACATAGAAAGACATCCTTTTGTTGGTCGTAACACTTCTGCAGCAGTACTTGTAATGAAAACAAGGCCTCTCTGGTCCCCATTCCGGCTCTGAATCCAAATTGATCGTATCCAACTTCTTTTTCACACCTTTTGTATACCCTATTGTGAAGTATTTTTAATAGAATTTTAAGCATTTGGCTCATAAGACTTATTAATCTAAAATCTGCGCATCGCCTGGAGTTAGCTTGTTTTGGAATGGGAATAAAAATAGATTCTAACCATTCCTCTGGTATTTCCCCAGTATCGTAGATTGTATTAAACAAAATTACTAACAAATCAATGTTATTACTTTCGATCAATTTAAGTATTTCAGGATAAACTTCATCAGGTCCAGGGCTTTTATTGGTCTTTAATTGTTTAATGGCATATTCCACTTCGACTTTTAGAATTGGTGGGCTTTCAGTAACATTATTTATTGTAATGTCTATTCTTTCATCTCGGAACAGCTGTTGTATAAATTTTTCCCATTCTTCTATTTTATCTTTGGTGTTATGAATTAACTCTCCGTTGTTATTTACCAGTGGGCAATGTTGTTTTTTGCGGATGAATGAAAATTCTTTCACCTTCTTGTACATATTAAAGTAATCATGTCTATGTTCTAATTCTTCTATTTCTTTACATTTTTCTTCGAGCCATTTCTCTTTTGATTCTTTTATTTTCCTTCTTATTTCTGTATTTAATCGTTTGTAATCGCTTGTGTTCTTATTTTTGTATTTCCTTCTTTCGTCTATCATCTTTAGAATAGCTGGTGTCATCCAGTCTTTTTTTGCCATTAATCGTGTATTTGGAATTTCTTCCCTTGCAGAATTGACGAGGATGGATTTTATTTGTTGCCAAGTTGTATTTATATTTTGGATATTTATTTGGGTTCGGTCTATTTCTGAGAGTTTTTCATTTAGTTTTACAGTGGTTTTATCTTTAATCTGTACATCTTTTAGTAGTTCCATATTAGGTTTGTTCTTCGGCTTTGCATTTTTTATTACTTTAATTCTTGTGCGAATATTTGCTACTACAGGGTTGTGGTCGGAATTTGCATCAGCACTAGGATATGTTTTTGTACTTGTAATGGAGTTACGAAATCGTTGGTTGATTAAAACATAATCTATTTGATTTCTTATTATTCTTTCTTTTGTGTGTAGCGGGGAAGTCCAGGTGTATAACCTACGTTGAGGTAACTTAAACCAAGTGTTTGTTGCTATCATATTGTGTTGCTGGCAAAACTCTAATAGTCTGTCTCCTCTTTCATTTCGTTCTCCTAGTCCGTATTCTCCTACGATATTTTGGAATTTCCCTCTTCCTATTTTAGCATTAAAATCTCCTAGGACGATGTTAATATCTTCTTTCTTTGTCAATTTCATGAGCTTTTGTAGATCTTCATACCATTCTTCTAGTATGTCATCTGGCTTATCTGCGGTTGGTGCATAGACCTGAATAATATTCACATTAAAAGGAGAACTCCTTATTTGCAACAGCATTGCTCTGTCAGAGAGTGGTATAAAGTTTGAAACTGCGTTACTCAATTCATCGTTTATTATTACACCTACTCCATTGAAATGTTTTGGATCATTGTTGCCTGAATAATAGAGTGTTTTGTTCATAATTTTTGTTGTTCCTGAGTTAGGCCATCTAACTTCACTCAGACCTAAAATATCTATATTCAATCTGTTCATTTCTTAGCACACGTTTGCTAGCTTTCCAGCCTCATAAAGGCTTCTGACGTTCCAGGTCGCTACTTTGACGTCATTGTTTGTTTTAGTTTTGTATTTGTTTTTGTTCCTCCCGGGGATTCTTAGTACCCCCTGAACATTTAAGTTCTGCCGGGCACTGGGGGCCATCGATTTAGTTCCATTTACCATCATAACTTTCTTGGGAAAATTAATGAGGTGGTTTCCCATTGCCTTCCTCATGTTTTCTGTCGGGGTTTTCTCCCTTATCTGGAGTGTTCCAGTTTTAAGGCGCCGGAAGCTCGCCTTTCGCCCTTTCCCGTTAGCGTTACCCAGGAAGTACCACGTGGAGGTGGGAATCGGACTTGCTAACAGACGTAATGTTTAACTATTCATCCAGGTTTTATTGCCACATACCTTCCGGTAAGACATGTGATCCCAGAGGTCTATCGTTAGCCATTCACTTCCCCTTAGATTTTAATATCAGATTTCGCTATTTGCGTTCATTCGAAGCCATGTTAGAGTTGCTTCCTAAGACAGAAGAGATTTATTTTCATGTTCAGACCGACAATGAATTGGCGTTCTGACGAAGCCTATTAGGCCGAAATACATACAAGCGGCTACATTGGCGCACTATACGTGAAATTAAATCTTAACTGTATTTTCCTTTTTATGTATTACTTTAAGCAGTACTTTCAAAGTATAACTCATGAGGCTCAGTTTTTATAGCCAGAGCACTCTTTTGCTGCTTATATACAATTGTTGATAACATATTTGATTTCCTCTATCGTGATTTTCTGTCTCTCTAAAGGATTTAACTCTTATATCACCTGCATTTCACTTCTTTCATCTTCTTCTCTACTCCACATATCTTCATTGATTTTCCCTCTTGTGCGTTCCAAGATTAATGAGATTAAATAAGGAATGAGCCTTCAGCCTTAATACAATCCCAATTTCACATCAAATTTATAAATCTCCCTTACACTGTTTTAAAAAGGTACTTGAATAATAGTAAAAAATAATATTCTTAACTTTTTAACTTTGTTGATCCGCTCATGGAGATCTACGAAGGGAAAATAGATACGATCGCTCAGGAACTCGGATTTAAACATTTCCGGCAAGGGTGGTCGCCATAAATATCCATTTAAATATTTTTTATACAACAACAGTGTTGCTTAGGACATTAAAAAAATTAAAATTAAGGTAGACTTATATGAATTAAACATTTTGTGTGATTTAAATAGGTATATAGGGTTTTTTGTTTGCATGTTTTATTTTAGCTGAAATTTTTATTACTATTCATGAAAATAAATTAACTAGTATTTCTTCACTTTTCAAAGAAACCAATTAAGTAACATTACCATCACTTTATAATCGAATATGATTTTTTTATTGAGATATATCACATCAACCATAATAAGTTTTTTTTTGTTTAAATG